TTTATGTCTATGATTTAGTTGGTGCTTGGATGAATGTTTGATGATTGGGTAGATTTACAAGACCCGTTTAAAACGATTTCAGGCCTACAAGACAATATTTAACTTTGTAAGAGCCCACGGACACTCTGGATTTACATTTCAGTCCAGTTTTTTGCAGTTATAATTAAGTGTTGGCTGTTGCTTTTACCTTTGTGGCTGCGTCAACAAACTTGACTCCTTTGTAGGTAATGTTCAGGATAATGACGGGACCTTTCCGGTGATCCTTTGATTTCTAAAGAACATTAAAAGGCAGGAAAAAAGCCAGCTGGTTAAAAGACCAACTGTTTAATATACATTATATTAAACTTTATATATATTATACTTTTGTGAATTTCTTTCTTCTGTCTTTTATTTCACACAAAATAAGATAGCCTGAAGCAAGGTGGAAAACACAGCAATTGGCATCGATAGCATGAACAAACAATACTATAGTATTCAGTGGCTGTTTAATTTTTTTTTCAGAATTCGTCAGAGTATCTGCTTGTGTTCAACAGAAAAAGAAACTTTAACAGGTTTGAAACAAGTGGAGAGTGTGTAAATGATGACAGAATTGTCATTGTTGGGGGAAATCTACCTTTAAAAATGCAAAAGATTAAATAAATAACAGAATTTATGAATAGGTGTGTATATACCCTTATTCTGGCGCAGGCCTCCTGTGTAGATTCAATTCCTCTTAGGTCTCGGATGATCACAGACCCCAAATACTAGAAAAGGAAGATTGGCATTGCATACGTCAAGCATTTAAATCCATCCTCTCATCATGTCCATCATTCCTATATTTCAATCTGTTCATCCTTCCATCCCATATTTCCATCTATCTATCCTTCAATCCAATATTTTTATCCATCCATCCATTCATCCAATATTTTCATTGATATAATATTTGTATACATCCATTCAATATTTTCATCCATCCATCCTTCTAGTTTTTCCAACGCAATCTCACAGCAATTCGTAACTTTTTGATTCAGTGGATAATTCTTATAAATTCGTACAATCTAATTTATAAAATTTAGTACGATTTGCTCATCACCCAATGACGGTTGGGGTTAGGGGTGGGGTTGGGTGCCACGCCTCCTTTTTAAAATCGTACATTTTCGTAAAACTGAACTCGTACGAATTCGTACAAATTAGCCACTAAACTGACAAAATGTAAAATATTTACGTTTCCTCGTGAGATCAGGCTGGTATTTCCATCCATCTTTTATCCATCTATCCACCCATCCATCCACCCATCCATTCAATATGTTCATCCATCTATCCATCCATCCATCGAACCATACAACCATCCCTCCGTCTATAAATCAAATACTTTTATACACCCATCATCCATCTATCCATCCATCTATCCATTCATCTATCCATCCATCCATCAATCCATAAATCCACCCACCCACCCATCCACCCATCCTTCCATCCATCCAATATTTCATCCGTCGACCTATCCATCAGTCCAATACTTTTATACATCCATCATCCATCTATCCAACCCTGCAATATTTCCATTATTCATCCAATATTTTCATCCATCCACCTATCCATCTGTCCATCTATTCATCCGATATTTTTATCTATCAATCAATCTATCCACACATCCATCCATCATCCATCCATCCAATATTTCCATTCATACATCCAATATTTTCATCCATCCATCCATCAATCCATCCATCCATCATCCATCATTTTCATCCATACATCCATCCAATATTATCAATGATCCATCTATCCACCTGTCCATCTATTCATCTATCCATCCATCCATCCATCCATCCATCCATCCATCCATCCATCCAATATTTTCATCTATAAATTCATTCACCCCATCCACCCATCCATCCGTCCATCTGTCCATCCATCCATCCATCCATCCATCTAATATTTTCATCCATCTATCCAATATTATCAATGATTCATCTATCCATCTGTCCATCTATCTATCCATCCATCCATCCTTCCTTCTAATATTTCATCCATCCATCCAATATTGTCAATGATCCATCTATCCATCTGTCCATCTATCCATCCATCCATCCACCTAATATTTTCATCCATAAATTCATTTACCCCATCCACCCATCCATCCGTCCATCTCTCCATCCATCCATCCATCCAATATTTTCATCCATCCATCCAATATTATCAATGATCCATCTATCCATCTGTCCATCCGTCCATCCATCCATCCATCCATCCATCTAATATTTTCATCCATCCATCCAATATTATCAATGATCCATCTATCCATCTGTCCATCCGTCCGTCCATCCATCCATCCATCCATCCATCCATCCATCTAATATTTTCATCCATCCATCCAATCTTATCAATGATCCATCTATCCATCTGTCCATCCGTCCATCCATCCATCCATCCATCCATCTAATATTTTCATCCATCCATCCAATCTTATCAATGATCCATCTATCCATCTGTCCATCCGTCCGTCCATCCATCCATCCATCCATCCATCCATCCATCCATCCATCCATCCATCCATCCTTCATTTCCATTCATCCCTCCAGGCATCTAGAAACATTTTGTAACATTATAAATATATAAACGTACAGCTACGTTGCTGCATAGTACTTTCTCAATTTCATCCCATGACTCACATTTTTAAAAATAACAATGATGGTTCAAAAGAGCACTTTAATTTTTAATGCGCCGCTCATTAATGGATGTTTTATTTATTTAAATCTAGACTTCCTCTGGTTTTGATCTTCATGACCTGAATCACAGTCCTTTTGACAGTCCTTTCAGGGTTTGAGCTGTACTGGTTAGTGCTCATGTTCTGCCAAAACTGAGGTGCATTACACATAAACAATGGGTGCGTCTCAATTAGCTCCCTAGTTATATACACTCAAAAAATGATGTTTCCTGTTTGTTCAAACTTCTTATTTACTATAAGCTGAAACAACACAATATCATAGTTCACCCAAAACTGAAAAATATGTCACAACTTGTCTGTTAAAGACTAAGAAGTCTGTTAAAAGCAAAAGAAGATATTTTGAAAAATGCTAAAAGCCAGTAACCATTGACTTCTATAGTATTTATACTAAGGAAGTCAATAGCCCCTTTCACACATACAGCAATTTTCCGGAAAGGTTGTATGTGTGAACAGGTCCTTATTGAAAATACCGGTAAATTCGTTCTGGCTATTTTCCGGAAAGAGAAGTTGTAACATTACCGGCAATTTGCCGGAATGCTGCGCTGTGTGAATGCAGAAGGAAGATTCCCGTAATAAGCGCGTGCACGTCTAGAACGTGCTGACGTGAGGCGTCTGCTTTAGCCAATCACAACAGTCAGACGCATTTACGTCCACGCGGTTTGTGAGGATAAAAGTCTTTGAATATTTTTCCAGACACATTTAGCTGCTAGAAGTTAGTCAGATCACGTTTATATGTTTTTCTTTATGCCAACTGTGTAAATAATCATCAATGAGATGCTTATGATAAGCCGTTGTTTGTTTACCTTCAAGCTTTGCGTGCGCCTGTGAGCGCCTGCACACGCACATATTATGAACATCTCGACATGTGAAAGTGATCCTGCGAAAGTTGTTCACAATATTGATCATCCACAGAGTCTGTAATTTAGTCAAATGTTTACAAATACAAGCGCAGCCGTTTAAAGCTCATTTGTGGTGAATGATGTCAGAATTTACCGGTATTTTGGAATGGATGTGTGAATGCTCTTTTCCGGAAAATTTCCGTAACGTCCTCGCCTGTGTGAACAGCGCTTTTTTGAATATACCGGTAAAGTCGTTCCGGAAATTTTCCGGATATTTACCGGTATCACTGTGTGAAAGGGGCTAATTACAGGTTTCAACATTTTTCAAAATACCTTCTTATGTGTTTTTGGTGTCAGAAAAAAAGGTTTGACACCACTTTAGGGTGTGTAAATATTGAGCAAATGTTTAGTTTTTGGGTGAAGCATCTCTTTAAGCATAAATAAATATAGCTAAAATACTTTTCTACCTTACAATATTTGTCTTGTTTCTAGTCCAAATATCTAAACATTCTTAAATCAAAAAGCTTTTTCGAGACATTGGGCTCTTTTTTAATATCCAGGAGCAAAGTGCAAAGCGCAGGGTGCAAAAGCATTAAGGGTGTGTCCACTCTGTAAAATCCGCTTTGCGCTGCAGTGCATGGTTTAACAGGCCTGAGCTTATTCTCTTAATGAGTTACAGGTGTGTTTTGAGAATAAAGCAATCAGAGTCTCATCTTCCATTCCCTTTAAGAGTCAGTTGCGTCACACCAAAGAGCATTTGCTATTTATTAAACTGGAGCACCCGGAGGAAACCCACAACAACACAGGGAGAACATGCACACTCCACACAGAAATGCCAACTGATCCTTTTTTGCTTTACAGTGTAGAGCAGACTTACTCTGGCCTCATAAACGCAGGATTCGGTGATAAGCTTCTCAGGATGATGGTGCCAGGCGGAGACAGTGGTGTATGTGTGAGATTGGCTGGTAGGGCGATTCTGACGTGAGTGTCGATCTGCATGACGATCCTAAAGAAAAACACAACAAATCAGTCTCAAACACACACAGAAAATGCAGTATATACAGTTGAAGTCAGAATTAATAGCCCCCCTGTTAATTTTTTTGTCCCCAATTTCAGGTTAATAGGGAGAAAAAAAATTTCAGCACATTTCTAAACATAATAGTTTTAATAACTCATCTCTAATACCTGATTTATTTTATCTTTGCTATGATGCCAGTAAATAATATTTGACTAGATATTTTTCAATACACTTCTATACAGCTTAAAGTGACATTTAAAGGCTTAACTAGGTTTATTAGATTAGGTTAGGGTAATTAGGCAAGTTGCCGTGTAACAATGGTTTGTTCAGTAGACTATTGAAAACAATATTGCTTAAGGGGGCTAATAATATTGACCTTAAAATAGATTTAAAATTTTTAATCTGCCTTTATTCTACCCGAAATAAAACAAAATAAGACTTTCTCCAGAAGAAAAAAAATTATAGGAAATAATGTGAAAAATTCCCTTGCTCTGTTAAACATAATTTGGGAAATATTTGAAAAAGGAAAAAAAATTCACAGGCGGGTTAGTAATTTTGACTTTAACTGCATGAAAAAAAATATAGAAAATACAAAATACCATATGACTATGTTCAAAGTGGAGACTCTTTTCATGGTATTTGCAGCATTTTTGTATTGTCCCTCCATAAATTTCAAAGCATAACGAGTTTAAATTATTTAAAAAATTGCCTTATTTAAAAACGGTATCAATTATTCATGTTCTGTGGCGTTCAGAGGTGTGACTGTGCCCCATGGTAACAGACATCCGCTTTTAAATGAGTATAAAAATAAATTCCCTATAAAAAATGTCATAGCAATTGCAACAAATTTTCTCGAGAGAAATTCCTGTAATTACTAGGAAGTACTAAAATGTGTTTCATGGAAAGTTGTTATTTAGTATATAAAGGAGAACTACAGACACAAAACATGACCTGAAATGATTAATAAAATAATATAATATAATATAATATAATATAATATAATATAATATAATATAATATAATATAATATAATATAATATAATATAATATAATATAATATAATATAATATAATATAAAATAAAATAATACAATATAATATAATATAATATAATATAATATAATATAATATAATATAATATAATATAATATAATATAATATAATATAATATAAAATAACAAAATATAATATAACAAAATATAATATAATATAATATAATATCACAAAATTTAATATAATATAATATAACAAAATTTTATATAATATAATACAATATAATATAATATAATATAATATAATATAATATAATATAATATAATATAATATAATATAATATAATATGATATAATATAATATAATATAATATAATATAATATAATATAAAATAAAATAATACAATATAATATAATATAATATAATATAATATAATATAATATAATATAATATAAAATAATATAATATAATATAATATAACAAAATATAATATAACAAAATATAATATAATATAATATAATATAATATCACAAAATTTTATATAATATAATATAACAAAATTTTATATAATATAATACAATATAATATAATATAATATAATATAATATAATATAATATGATATAATATAATATAATATAATATAATATAATATAATATAATATAATATAACAAAATTTAATATAATATAATATAACAAAATATAATATAATATAATATAATATAATATAACAAAATTTAATATAATATAATATAACAAAATTTAATATAATATAATACAATATAATATAATATAATATAATATAATATAATATGATATAATATAATATAATATAATATAATATAATATAATATAATATAATACAATACAATATAATATAATATAATATAATATAATATAATATAATATGATATGATATGATATGATATGATATGATACGATACGATACGATACGATACGATACGATACGATACAATATAATATAATATAATATAATATAATATAATATAATATAATATAATATAATATAATATAATATAATATTTTGCTGCAACCTATCACTGGGAAACATCCATACATACTCATTCAAAGGAGCAAAGGCTACCTGATCAACATTGCATTCATTACAAAAATCCCTTGCAATCTGGACACAGTCACCGCATGCTTGTGATGCGGTACAATCCGTAAACTCCACACATTAAAATAACGGCTTGGTATTTATAATGTAAAATAGTGATGATATTTAATTATTGATCATGGGCCACAAATAAAATTATCAGGATAATAAAACAATTAATCGTGCCGCCCTAGCGGTGATTGTGCAAAAATCTCTTTCATAAGGGGTTTAAACACAGTTGTGTGGCAGCAGTCTTTGAGTATAACCAGCTGGTAAAATGTATTAATTTAATGATAGATAATCACTCTTGATAAAAACAGTCTGCAGAAACAGTTTGATTGACATTCTCCCTTTGTACGTGTCATCAGACCATCTCTCCCTCATTTGAATAGGATGTTAGTCTTGTTTTTGAATCTGTCACTATGCTGACACACAGGCATTTGTAGCTCCACCCTCTTTTTAAAAGAGCACAATCTCATTTGAATTTAAAGCGACAGTCACTAAAATGCCAAAATTAGGATCAAAGCCTTAAGGGTCAGAGAGTTATACAACATTATTTTCAGGGTATTTCGAGTTGAAACTTCACAAACACACTCAGAGACTTATTTTGCATCTTGTAAAAAGGGGCATAATTTGATGCACTTCAGAAGAAAAAACATTATTATTATTACTTTAATACATCAGTGCATAAATATATTCAAATTTCAGAATGTTATTTTTCCTCTGCAATGCAGAAGTGCTTACACATGGTTTACAGTGTGAATCAGAGAATGACTCACTTGTGATTCATGCAGCTTGAAAGAAGTTATTATAATCACAGTGATTTTAGTCACAGATGTACTCACATGTGAGCGTGACCTTTCACCGAAGGAGCGAAGGGAGATACTGCCGTCCTGATCCAAAGCTCTGCTCTTCCTGCCTGCCTCTCCGAGCGGAAGTAACATGTCCATGGAGCGACTGGTGTATGGATCCATATAGCTGAGCGGTGATGCATTCTGAGACAGCAGGTCCTGAATCTGATAAGCACAAATACTTTTCTTTACTATATTATATGCAAATTATATGCAAATTTACCATTCTTTACTATACTATACTATACTATACTATACTATACTATACTATACTATACTATACTATATACAAACACTACACTGTCTTTTTTTATTTGCATGCATATTTGTATCTTTGTTGCTTGCTATATATTTTCATGTACAGTTAAGTCAAAATATTATTATTATTATTATTATTATTATTATTATTTATTTTTTAAGTATTCCCCAAATTATGTTTAACAGAGCAAGGAATTTTTCCCAGTATGTCTCATAATATTTTTTCCTCTGGAGGAAGTCATGTTTGTTTTATTTTGGCAGGAATAAAAGCAGTTTTGAATTTTTTAAAACCATTTTAAGGTCAAAATTATTAGCCCCTTTCATTCATTCATTAATTCATTTTCAACTGCTTTTCCGGGGCCAGGTCACGGGGGCAGCAGTCATAGGAGAGAACCCCAGACACTTTCTCCAGCTCCTCCGGGGGGATCCCCAGGCGTTCCCAGGTCAACCACGAGACATAGTCCCTCCAACGTTTCCTGGGCCTTCCCCGAGGCCTCCCCTAGGCAGGCGTGCAGGAGACATCAGAAACAGATGCCCGAGCTATCTCAGCTGGCTTCTCTCAATGTAGAGGAGCAGCGGCTCTACTCCGAGCTCCTCCCGGGTATCAGAGCTCCTCACCCTATCTATAAGGGTGCGCCCTGCCACCCTGCGAAAGAAACTCATTTCAGCTGCTTGTATCCGAGATCTTGTCCTTTCGGTCATGACCCAAAGCCCATGACCAAAGAAGAGAGAAGGAACGTAGATTGATTGGTAAATCGAGAGCTTTGCCTTTTGGCTCAGCTTCTTCTTTACCACAATGGACTGGTACACTGACCACATTACTGCTGCCGCTGCACCAATCCAGAGATGGCAAACCACCAGGTTGGTGGAAAGTCCTTACCCCGGGTGGAGGAGTTCAAGTATCTTGAGCTTCTATTCACGAGGGAAGGATGGAACGTGAGATTGACAGGCGTATTATTAGCCCCTTTAAGCAATATTTGTTTTCAATAGTCTACAGAACAAACCATCGTTATACAATAACTTGCCTAATTACCCTAACCTGCCTAGTTAAACTAATTAACCTAGTTAAGCCTTTAAATGTCACTTTAAGCTGTATAGAAGTGTCTTGAAATATGTCTAGTAAAATATTATTTACTGTCATCATGGCAAAGATAAAATAAATTAGTTATTAGAAATGAGTTAATAAAACTATTATGTTTAGAAACAGAAACAGAAATTCGGAAAAAAAAAACATACAGGGGGTCTAATAATTCTGACTTCAACTGTATATATTGAAATTCATTATTGAATATGTTTTTCTTTTATACTACAGGACTGTTAAATGCTTGATTCTGATTGGCTGATGAACATTCTAAGGCAGGGGTGGCCAACCCTGTTCTAAGGCATGCCGTTATTTTCAGATAAACGCACAACTAAAGTAGTTCCAGCAGGTTTTGAGCACATTACAGCTTCATATCACTACGCTGAATGATTTCAGTTATTTCACAGCTACAAAAGAAAAAAAAATCACTTCAAAACACAACAGAAAGCTTTGGATGAGATGTGTAAGAAGCTAGTTGAAGACACAGGAGCAGTTTGAGGACAAAAGCCTGACAAATGGGTTAAAATACAAAGTCTGAACAGCGGCATCAGGTGTGGAAACTGTATTTTAGGCAGAATACAGGGCTTCTGCAGGCTTCATCAAGTCAAATTAAGACTTTTTAAGACCCTTTTAAGACCATAAAGAATGAAATTTCAGACTTATACAGAGTTAAGATTTTTTTCTAATGGCCCGCTATTACCATGAGTAATCATGTCATTGTTTTTAGTTTTTTTTTCTCTGATTAGGGAAATTAATTTAGGTAATTTGTTGTAAAAATATCTAACAGCTGTTTAGAGCTGTATCTCTTTGCAATAAAAGAACTCAGGTCACACTTATTTTGATGGTCTGTTTGTTGAAATTAAGTTACATTGTATATACATGCCAACTAATTCTCAATATATTATTAGTAGACTGTTAGGTTAGGGTTAGTGTAAGTTGACAAGTACTTGCAAAGTTTGTTATAGTCAGTTCAATGCCTGTTAAAGGAGCAGTATCAGCAGATATTAAGCAGACAGTCTACTAATACTCAAATGGACCATCAAAATAAAGTGTAACCAAAAAGAAGGTTTTATTGAAATGCATTGTTGGTCATTGGATGGATGTCGGCCCAAATTGAGTAGCTTCACTTGGACAGAGAAAAATTAAGACCTGTTTAAAACTATTTAGGACCTACAACACAATATGTCACTGAATTTAAGATTTTTTTTAAGGCCTAAAATTTAGGTTTTGGAATATAAGACATTTTAAGACTTTTCAAGACCCAGCGCACACCCTGAGAATAATACAAAACAAAATCAGGCTTGTGTGTCACCATCCTGCACTTTGTCTCCATTCCCCTAGAGGTCCCCGTGTTCCCCTCTGCCTTTGTTCTTCCTCGTGTCTTCTTGTTTACTTAATGCTTGTTTATGCAAAATGCTTTTGCACCGCAGCAACCTGCGAAACTTAACGCATGACCCATTCGCGTGCGAATGAATGGAAGTCCATGAGAGGAAAAGCCCAGTGTGATCGCAGCTTTATTGTTTTGTGTTTTCTCCCCTCATGGAGTTTTCTTTACATGTTTATTATACTGTTAGAATATTTTGTAAAACCTCATTCTGAAAAGAACCTAAGTTGTCTGTTTTGCTACCTCATTTTTGAGAAGAATCTAAGTTGACCATAAATATATACCAAAATATACCAAAAATAAATCATTGTTTTCTGGATTTCCTCTTGGATTGCTTTCATTTGGGTCCAACACAACCCCCCCTGTGGCTCCGTGGTTTACAGACCGGTCTCCATACCAGAGACCCAGGTTTAAGACCTGTCCGTGACATTGTGAACAGTGATTGTAAAGCAGTTGCCTTTTTTAATGTATTGCTATTTGTATTGATTTAATATTTAAAATATAAAGATTTATATTATTGTAGAAATATCCTAAACTGCAAAAAAATGCTTTTCTTACTTTGAGTTTTTGTCTTGTTTTAAGTTCAAATATCAAAAAAATCTAATCAAGAAGCATTTTTTATAGACAAGTAAAAAAAAAAGTCATATTTTAAGAAATAAGAAGTCAAAATCAAGTGAGTCTTTCCTTAAAACAAGCTAAAATATTAGCTTGCTTACCCTAATTGACAGATTCCTTAGCTTGTTTTAAGGAAAAACTCACCTAATTTTCACACATTATTTCTGAAAACGAGACAATATATAATTTTTTTTTACTTGTCTACAAAATGCTTGATTAAAAAAATTTATATTTGAACAAGAAACTACCAAGAAAAGCATTTTTCCCCCCAAAGTAAACAGGGACTAAGCCTGCAAATTATTAGTCTTTGGCTAGAAGCCTATATGTGGTGCATTAGCTACTTGAACATTTTGCAGTTTTATATAGCACCTGTTAAATATACTTACTAATAAATAACAAAATAATAAATGCACAGACTTTTTTATCACCTTAAGCTGGGAAAAACGGTTTGTTTTCGAAGGTGCTTCTTCATACGGTCGCTCTGCTATCGAGGCTATGATCCTTTTTCTGTGACCAAGAAGGCCAATTTTTAACACCTGCACATAGAAATGATGGTCAGTGTACACGTTATGCATCTACTCCCTGGTAAAAAGACCAGCATTAATAGCGTTTTTACATTAACAATTTCGAGTTCCCACAGATTCTTCACACATTCCAGCGTGCGGTACCCGCTAGACAAGAAGTTGTGCAGATACTCTCCGAGTCCAAGACTTTCCAGCCAAGAGTACAGAGAGGTGCTGCCGTCACATCCCAGAGCTTTCACCTGCAACAGCAGTAAAACGCCATCGCAAAATAAATTGCATTGCATAGCATTTATAATTCACTTTGAGGAAAGCCAAGAAAGACATCTGGACACTTAAGCCACACTTAAAATGTCAGAAAGTGATTGCATTAGATTACAAAATATTAACAAAGAAGCTTTTCTCTGGGACATTTGCTATTACTTTTAACCAGCTGGTCCCAAGGTCATTTTAAGTGGATCAAATGTGAGGTTAAAGAGAGTGCTTTAAAAATAAAAGCCACTTGGTTTGACATGTAGTATCCGAATACTGTTTGGGGACTGAAACATGGTACCTTTGGAAGGCTTTTTGCTGCATGAAGGATTTTCTTTCTGTGGCCTGGATCGGTGATGCCAATTTCGTGAAGGTCCTCGTCTTCCATCACGTTACTCCCCTGAACATATGCACACACACATTTGTGCCTTACTTAAATCGACAAGAACAGCATGAAAGTAACAGCAGTGGTAGTTTGTTATAACTGTTTCAGGGACACCCAGTACCCAGTGAAAACATTTAGTCAGTGTCTTGCAAAGAAGAGACCAAAAACAGTTTGAGTATTTGCATTGTTTCTATCTTACATTTCTTCGAGATTTCTAATGATCATTCATTCGTTTTCTTCTCAGCTTAGTCCCTTTATTATTCAGGGGTCACTTATATTTCGGTTTTGGAATATAAGATATTTTACATCCTGCACTTTGTCTCCATTCCCCTAGAGGTCCCCGTGTTCCCCTCTGCCTTTGTGCTTCCTCGTGTCTTCTTGTTTACTTAATTTTGATCACCTGTGACTTGTTCCAGTCAGTGTATTTAAGTTGTCAATTTGTCTGTGTTCCTCACTTGGTTTTTGAGTCATCCCTGGTGAACTTGCCTAGCGTTCCCAGCTACATCTAGTATTTTCCTTGTTGCTGGCTGCCTTAAGCTACGGTCACACTACAGTTTGTGTGTGCGAAATTCTATCGTACGGCGCTGCAAGAAGGGGCGGGATTAAACAAGATTATTAGACATTAAAAAAAGCGAGCGATTGCTCCATGTTTTAAATTTCTGTCCAGAGTGGTCATGTTTTGACCCTCGATTGGTCTCACGCAGTCAAGTGATGCGATTTCGCAGGTCAGAGTTCACCAAGCTTAAACTTTGCACCGCAGGAAACTGCGAAACAACGCATGACCCCACGTTTCCGGTCTGACCCATTCGCGTGCGTATCAATGGAAGTCTATGAGAGGAAAAGCCCAGTGTGACCGCAGCTTTATTGTCTTGTGTTTTCCCCCCTCGTGGAGTTTTCTTTACATGTTTATTATTGACCTTATTCTTCGCAGACGAGCGGTCGCTGCCATTTGAATCTTTTTGGCACGAGACTTCTGGTCTCATTCACTTCCATTCATTTTTAGACATTAAAAACTGCTCGTTTCGCTGTTTGATGTTGCAATTTGATATTTCCTTGTTATATTATTCTACTTGGTCTGTATAGTCATGCAAACATTTGTTTGTAGAGCAAGTAGTTTGACCGTTTTTTGCCGTTTATTATTCCTAGTCATTTCTCCCATAGGCGACTGAAACGTAAGTTCTAAGACAATCGCGAAAACAGGCGCACTTCCGCATGTTAGAATAAGGTCAATACTGTTAGAATATTTTGTAAAACCTCATTCTGAAAAGAACCTAAGTTGTCTGTTTTGCTACCTTATTTTTTAGAAGAATCTAAGTTGACCATGAATATATACCAAAATATACCAAAAATAAATCATTGTTTTCTGGATTTCCTCTTGGATTGCTTTCGTTTGGGTCCAACACAACTCCCACTGTGGCTCGGTGGTTTACACACCGGTCTCCACACCAGAGACCCAGGTTTGACCACAGCGGAATGAACCGCCAACTTATCCATATGTTACATATGTTTTATATTATCATATGTTATACATAGCGGATGCCCTTTCAGCTGCAACCCATCACTGGGGACCATCATACACACTCATCCACACACATACACTATGGAAAATTTAGCCTACCCAGTTCACCTATACCACATGTATTTGGACTTGTGGGGGAAACCAGAGCACCCGGAGGAAACCCACGCCAACATGGGAAGAACATGCAAACTCCACACAGAAATGCCAACTGACTTAGTCGGGGCTCAAACCAGCAACCTTCTTGCTGTGAGGCGATTGTGTTACCCACTGCGCCACCGTGCTGCCCCAATTTCTAATTAAAATATTGTAACTTAGACCACTTATTTTCTGGAAATGACAATTGGTCATAATAATAAATGTTTTTAGCAAACTAAGTTTGAGAGGAGTATGTCATACCGGTGTCATACCGGACACCGGTATGATTGACAAGGTGCTGATTTCTCATCTACAATTAATAGTTAGCCAATTAGATCCATTGACTTGACCAATTAATCCAAACTCACTATAAGTAGCCCAGCTAAAAATACTCCTTTATCTTCGTTTTCTGAAGAAACCCTCCATCCACCCCATCTCCACCTATCTTTCTTTACTACAGGGAGCTCTCGAAAACTACCTGACCTTGTACTCCCTTTACATGCTCAATCGACCAGGTGGGAGCCCTGGGCTCAATTATTTCCAAGCTCACGGTTCTCTCCCGGGACAGCATGCCGAACCTGCTGACATTTGCCAAACAATATCTAAGTGTGAACTGTTAAATTTGTTGTGTTTTAATTGATGTGAAATTACAAAATATGAATCTTTAAGCCTTTCAGAAAGTTTAAACTGTTTTTTTTACTGTTTTTTTTATACCGAAGATTTCAACATTTCTGTTTGAAGTTAGGAAGAAGTTTCATCAATAGTTTACAGTATAAAACAAAAAATCTGTTTTAGTCAGCTACAAATACGGTTAATTGAGAAACTGAAAATTTCCAAAGGGTCTCTTCATTATTTTTTTAACCTGTTTATACACATTTATAGCTGTATATAGCGAAATAAGCTGCAAATATAAACATGCACATTCATAAAAATTTACACTTTTATAGTTTCTACTATTGAACAGCATCTCATTAAAGGTGAAAAGATTTTAAGTGCTTAAAATGGCTTATAGCATGTCAAACTGCAAGACAACACTGCCATTTCATGTCTTTGCCTTGTATTTTGAATGACTGAAACTTTTATTTAAAATAAACAACTTAAATATGGGCAGCACGGTGGCGCAGTGGGTAGCACAATCGCCTCACAGCTTGCTGGTTCGAGCTCCGACTTAGTTGGCGTTTCTGTGTGGAGTTTGCATGTTCTCCCTGTTCGCGTTGGTTTCCTCTGGGTGCTCCGGATTCCCCACAAGTTCAAAAACAGGTGAATTGTGTAGGCTAAATTGTCCTTAGTGTATGTGTGTGAATGAGTGTGTATGGATGTTTCCCAGTGATGGGTTGCAGATGGAAGGGCATCTGCTGCGTAAAACATATGCTGGATATGTTGACGGTTCATTCCACTGTGGCGAACCCTGATTAATAAAGGGACTAAGCTGAAAAGAAAAAGAATGAATGAATGAATAATTCCAATATGAAATGTTGTGTTTTAATATGAATCGGAGAATCCAAATAAAACTGAACACAAGAAACCTACAATGAGAACACTATAAAAACAGCTTAAAATCTTTATGTCTGTTTCTCCTTTGTTTTTACTTGTATTACATATCTACAAATAAAACTGTTCAGTTTTAACATGAAACAAGAGAATCCAGATCAAATAAATCTACAATAAAACAGCTTAAACTGTTTATACAGTTGAAGTCAGAATTATTAGCCCCCCCCCCCCCCTCCCCCCCCCCCCATTGAATTTTTTTTCTTTTTTAAATATGTCCCAAATATTGTTTAACAGAGGAAGGAAATTTTCACAGTATGTCTGATAATATTTTTTCTTCTGGAGAAAGTCATATTTGTTTTATTTAGGCTAGAATAAAAGCAGTTTTAAATTTTTTAAACACCATTTTAAGGACAAAATTATTAGCCCCTTTAAGCGAATTTTTTTCGATAGTCAAAAGAACAAACCATCGTTATGTAATAACTTGTCTAATTACCCTAACCTGCCTAGTTAACCTAATTAACCTAGTTAAGCCTTTAACTGTCCGTTTAAGCTGTATAGAAGTGTCTTGAAAAATATCTAGTAAAATATTATGTACTGTCATCATGGCAAAGATCAAATAAATCAGTTATCAGAGATGAGTTATTAAAATGATTATGCTTAGAAATGTTTTGAAAAAACCCTCCGTTAAACAGAAAATGGGGAAAATAATAAACAGGGGGGCGAATAATTCTGACCTCAACTGTCTCTGTTTTTCCTTTTTTACTTGCAAAAAAATATAGACATAAATGAAAGTGTTCAATGAACTGAATCCTATTTAGGGTCTTTTCATGTTGGAAATACAGAAACTCACCACATCTCCGACCAACCTGCTGTGTCAATCAATCCAGAGCACAAAAGCCACTCACCATGTAGCGCAGCTCGTCGAAGCCATTGAGCACCAGTTTGCTCTCGTACTGAGGAAAGCCCACGTGTTCCAGCCACTCCCCCACCGACTGCTCCAGCACGCGGCTCCCAGCTGCATCTGCCGATAAAGGATGGCGTTTGAGCAGCGAAAAACCGTTTAGTCTGTAGCAGCGGCACTCGGAGGCCGAGATGTGGCACTGCCACATCATCTTTGGCCAGCAGAGCTGAGGGCAGCAGCAGCAACAGCAAGGCAGTGTCCAGGCTTGAGCGACGGGCCTCCGCTAGACGCAGGGCCCCTAGATTTACAGACTAAACTAGTGATGGAGAATCCTCCAAAAGCCCTCACTGTGGTGGAGATGAGGGCCAAGGCTGAATGGGGTATGGAGGTAGACCTTGGCAGGTAGTCCTTTAAAGAAGACTGTCAAGTAAGGGAGTCAGTTAATCGGGACAATTTGGCGTTGCTCTTCAAAAAAGAGAGCAAACGAAGCAACTTTTCTGAGTTAAACAACAGTGCTGAGGGTCATCAGCACGTTGCTCCAACAGGAGTATAATAAAAGTTCAACAAGAGCTTTTGGCTTGCAGCAAAATATATAGAGATCTACAAGAAACTACTAGGAAGTTTGGCAGAAAGTGCGCACTGCTTTACCAACATGCTCCGTGGCTATGCAACAAACATTTCTCAACACAAAGTTCGATAAAACAGACCTGTCTTCGAAATTGGAAGTAAAACCATTTAGCAGGAGCGGTTGGAGATTAATGCCAACGAGTTCATTACAATAGAGTCATGGACCCTCGAGCCAAGCAGCTCGACTCATTGATCAACAGTCCACCACAATGCCAGTTCTTCAACACCAGATGCCAGCTCGTCCTTTGAAAGATCTTCACGGCATGTTTCCCCATTCCACCCTTCCCGTTGATAAGTTGTGGATGAAGAACTCCTCCCTCCACCGGTCGGACCACTTCCCCAAGCACTCCCTGATCTGGTAGAGTTCTGGTAATCCAAGTACTCCTGGTCCGTCCAATCTTAAATGCACCTCGCCGTGCTAACATACCCGAACGGAGGGCACCATCGGAATGAAGTAAACCCAAGTCTTGATCCAGTGGAAACAATGGAAAATAAAGCTCTTGGTTCCCCTGCTCTGGTGGCTTCGTTCCTCTAGAAAGCGTTCCTAATGATCCTTCGGCCCCAATCGGGCAGCCTTCTAGTCACGGTAATCCAAGGACTTCTGGTCCTAGATGCACCTCACCGGGTTAACATACCAGAACGGAGTGCGCCATCAAAACGAGGAACAGCCAAGCCTTGATCCAACAGAAATAAGGTGAGCTCCAGCAATGGACAGATAACCCCTTGAGAAAGCCCTGTTGATGGCACGGTCCCTCTTGTTGCAGCCCAGCCCCCTGCTCCGGTCGCTCCGTTCCTCTTGCAGACGTTCCTAAGGGTCTTGTGCTCGGGGGCAAGGATTGCTGCATCCCTGATCTGGGAACGTTCAGTCACAGCGGCAGCTGCATTCAGCGCTCACAAAGCAAAACATCCAGATGACATAGTGCTCCTCCAGAAAGCCATCGGTAGCGCATCGCCTCCACGCCTGCAGCTGGGAATCACCTTAAAGACATCTTATGCGCTCAGTTCAGCTGTGCATCGTGTCCACTCACCGTTTCCAGCTTTCTTTCCTGTCTGACTTGCTTTTTCCCGTCAGTTTTCATTGACAGAGTCCTTTCGGAGAGCTCTGCAGGGCTGCCATATGCCGTCTGACGCTGAGACCCGCTGCACGGCATATACGCTCTGTTCGTTCCCAAACCCCCCTCCCTCTCGTTTCTATGCCTCTCTATCTGTCTCTCACACACACACACACACTCTCTCTCTCTCTCTCTCTCTGTGGCGATCAATCCCCCCCACCCCCTTTCTCTCTCTGCCCCTCTATCTATTCCCCGCTCCCCGTACTGATTAAAATTGCACGCAGGCTCTCTGATCTTGCTGGTGCAGAAAGGACACCATGAGAAAAAGGAACAAGAGACAAACCCGAACCACACACTACTGTTCCAGGATCAGCCAGAGGATTGAGGAGGCGGGTGGAGGGGGGTCCAAACAGGTTGCTCTAACCCTGCACCCCACAACCCCATCCCTATCCCCTCCGCACTTAAGTGCTTGCAGAGCCTCTGCACTCTCTCTATGAAAAATTAAATCGCAGCCAAGCCACATACCACGGTAAATCATCAGAGGAATTAAATTCATGAATGTGTCACTGTACCGGTGCGGAAAGAGAGAGAGACGGGGGGGGGGGGGGGGGGGGGGGCTGGTTGCTGGAGCTGCATGTTAAACGTTAAGTCAGCGAAATGCACCGTGCACATGCCGCACTTAACATAATCCCACCCGTGCCCACCTACATATTGGACACATCCGAGTCCAATTGTCAGAATTCAGGTTTTGCCAGACGTGATCAAACCGTAGCATTCGCGTCTGCAGACGATGCCGAGCGCATTTTTTCTGTAGCGTGATGTGGTCTAATTCAGTGTCACACATGAGTGCCGCTTCATGCATGCATGTAGGGCATTATATCTGCATGCAGCTGAGAGCCGGGGAAATCATACGAACTGTCAGCCTGCCAGAGCGTTATTCACATCCATGCTGACACTGAATCAGATGTAAAGTGCATCCAAACATGAGCGCATTTAAAAGGATGCTCACTTCTGAAGGAGGTGTAACTATCAGTGTGCTTCTTTTAGCGAATGCAAAATGACCAGCAAAATTAGGGAAATCGCTAACAATTCGGCAAAAAGGAGCCAACCATTTTAGCAAATCCTCTATAATGAATTTTGACATGATTATCATGGGTACTTTAATAAGCTGCTATGGTTTTTGAAATGAATCATGTTTACGGTTGCTGTGGCAGAGGCAAAAATGCTGTGAATTTGTTCATTTCCTTCTAATTTGTGTTAGCTGTTTTATGTCAGTTAGTTTATTGGTTTGTTAGTTAGTTAGTTAGTTAGTTAGTTAGTTAGTTAGTAGAAGAGTAATCACCACCACTGTATTTCTGCTTTCAGTTAGTTTAGTTTAGTTAGTTTTGACTTTATTTTTAAATTTATCTTGATTAGTCAGTTACTAGTCTCGTTCTGAAAACGTAGCCCTATATACATTTCTGGAGATCGTGAATTATGTAGCCAGAAGTACGTTTGGCTGCATTTCGTCTTTAAAATGAATGCTATGGGGCGGTATGACGTTGTTCCTTTTGCGATTTCCAATTGACCGCTTACCTCCGTATAAACGGTTTTCCTGCTGTTATCAGTTTGTCCAGTGGCTCGCAGTGTACATTGGCGAACTTGACATGCAGAGTTGACCGTGATGATGGGGTTTGAGTTCGGCGAACGGTTCCAGAGAGCGGGTAAGACAAAAACAGAAGCCAAAAAAATAAAATAAACAAGTAAATAACAGGGTGAGAATGTGGTAAAATCTGAAAATGTGGTAAAAATCAGGCCAGGGCTTTTGTTTTTCTGGATTGCTTTTTTAAACACTGTTCGTTGGGTTTAGGGAAGTGGATGGATGGGTCAATCTGTGCTTTTTAAAACACTATCGGTTGGGTTTAGGGATGGAGGAGGGTGGGTCAGTTGATTGCTTTTCAAAACACTTGGTTTGGTTTCAGTCGGTCAGTCAGTCAGTCAGTCGACAGCGCTCTCTGGTGGATTTACGTGAGAACAGCAAGAGAAAAATTAGAGATCTCAAAAGGACTACACAGCAGCCTCTGGTAGATTTACAAAAAATAAAAAACTGCAAAAATGTAGCTTCTGGGATGGATTTGGTGCTCTCCAGAAATGTATATAGTAGTACGTAATCAGAATGAGCCTGTCATGACTGTGTTTGTCCACAAGATGCCACTGTAGTTCGCCAGCTACTCCCAGCGAACTACAGTGGCTTAAGAACTACATTTCCATACATTCTTTAGCGCACACACCCATCTGTCATCTACACTGATTTGCAACCACAGCTGTCTCCGTTCTCCGTTGATTACCTGGACTATATATATTCAGTCATTCATCCTTGTTTGTCAGTTGGTCGTTGTCGTCTTTATTGGTATGTGTTCCTGATCCTGCTTTGTATTTTGTCTTAGTTGTCAAAGTCTGGTTCGAGTTTTATACTGTTTGAGTCCTCGTTTGTTTGTTACTTTGTACTTTTTGTAGTTTTTGTCACTTTCACTGCACAATCGTCATTAAAAACTGCACTTGGATTCTACACCTGTTTTTTGTTCCTGTTTTGATTCCGTACCGTGACAGAGCCTGGATTGGTTTTGAACACATAGCTGGACTGTTTTGCTTTGTTCTTTTATTTTTATTTGGCAACAATCGCTATTTATTTCATTCATTTATTAACTTTATTCTCTATTTCATATATTAATAATTTTCTATATATTATTTTGTTGAATAAATAATTATATTTTTGCTTTTTGGTTTTCATTGTTTGCCTTTTGACATAAATGTTACCACTCTTTCAAAGGCGGACTTAACCAGTAAGGGAGCTAAGCAGCTGCTTAGGGTCCTGGGAAATTAGGGGGCCCCGATTTAATGCCAAGAAGCCTATATTAATCATTTAGCTTTTTTATTAATTTTCTATCATATGTTGTAAAATCAGTCTATAACCATTAAGATTTTAATGTTATTACCTCTATTCAAAACCAGGGGCCTCTATGAATAGCTGACCATTGCTTCTATTCCTAATCACAAATATGGCTAATTAACTGTACATAATTAGTTTGTGACCCAGAGAAAAATAATATCTATGTAGAAAGAGAATGTTTTGAGTTTCAATGCTAGGGTTCCATACCTGCAATTGCTTTTTAGGGCCCCAAAATCTTTAAGAGCGCCCCTGTTCTCATCCCCCTTTACCAACAAACAGCTAACAGTACTATATATATTACCTTTATATTACTCATTTACACAGCAACATTATCTAAATTTCACTAAACACACATATATGTATAGAGCTATGGAAAAACTTAAGAGACCTCTTTAAAATTCTCAGTTTCTATGGACTTAATTTTATGTTGTGTTTCAGGTCTGTTTTGTTTCTCCTGAAAACTAATGATGATTTTTTTTATTAAACTGAAATGTAATTATTATCAATTACAGTTTTTTTTTAAATAACCATAAGGTGCATGTTTTCAGACATGTTTATATAAATTTTTATACAAACATGATGTTAACTTAAAAAGATTTAAGACACTAACATTTAGTGGAATAACCATTATTTTCAATTAGAAAACAAATGAAAACATCTGTTATTGCTTTAAATGACAATATTTCTAAAATATATACAAATTATTATCAACCTTTAATCAAAAATCAACATTTTACAACAATGCAGACAAACCAGGCTCATTCTGAAAATGTACCCTTATATACATTTCTGAAGATCGCGAAATACATCCCAGGAGGTGTATTTTTTCCAGTTTTGTTTCCGCGAATCCACCAGAGGCCGCTGTGTGCACTTTTTGAAACCTCTAATTTCTTTTGCAAGTGCTATTCGTGCCTACTGTTGTCACGTAAATCCACCAGAGGCCGCTGTGTTCGCTTTGTGAGATCTCAAATTTCTCTTGTGAGTGCCATTTGCGCCTGGTGTTCTTGTGTAAATTCACCAGAGGCTGCTGTCGACTGACCCACTGACCAATCAACTGACCCACCCTCCTCCTTCCCAAAACCCAACCGATAGTGTTTTAAAAAGCACAGATTGACCCGTCCGCCCACTTCCCTAAACCCAACGAACAGTGTTTTAAAAAGCAATCCAGAAAAACAAAAGCCCTCGCCTGATTTTTACCACGTTTTCATATTTTACCACATTCTCACCCGGTTATTTACTTGATTGTTTTATTTTATTTTATTTTTTGGCTTTATTTTTTGTCTTACCTGCTTTCTAGAACCGTTCTTCACCTCTCTGCATTTTAAGTCCACCAATATACATGGTGTATATACAATCTATATTGTCTGACTTCAATATTTTGCACCTCCTCTCAAGAGCTCTTTAACTTTTCCAATAATAAGCAGGCTTTAATAATGGCCTAGAGTAATGTGTTGTGAATCTGAGACGTGATGAAATCCTATCTTTCAGTAAACACAGCATTCTCTTCTCCAACAACTGCAAACATCCTGACAAGTGTCTCATTGACTCCTATGAGGATTTTAAGGACAGAACAATAGAGCTGTCTGATCCTTTAAGATGTTTCTTTCCTGTAAAATGTCTAAATAATTGTATCTCTCCTAGAAAAGTCCATTAAAATATAGTGCCCTCACTCCATATATAGCAACCACCTTGGGAGTCTCCACTCAAGAAGAAAAGAATATTAAGTCCTAATTACTGAGTATGGGTGCGATGGCCACAGTAAATGGATCGTGATCTCATCTCTTTAAAGTAGGCCCTCGGCGCCCATTGTGTACCGGAGGGTGTCTGTGTCAAAATATCAGGTACAAAAATATCAGACACAGACCAAATTGGGGTGAAAAGTGAGAGCGTGTGCTTGAGGATGAAAACCGCTGGTTGTTAAAGACGGCAATAGTTCTGACTCGAGGGATGATTCAGCTGAGGCAAAGCTTTGTGAAAGCAACCCTTTGAGGATATACTGTTGTTTAGTCATGTACAATGAACAAATAAATAACGTTTATAAACAGGCATATTAAATCAGGAATAAAATAAAATAAAATATTTTTAAATGCATTACTAAATACCTTATGCTTACATAAAATAAAATAAAAACAAATAAAATGAAATAAAATAAAACAAAATAAAATAAAAGTAAATTAAAATAAAATAATGTAAATGCATTATTAAATACTTATTGCTTAAACAAAATAAAATAAAGACAAATAAAATAAAATAAATTATTTTTAAACACATTACTACATACCTAATGCTTAAATAAAATAAAATAAAATTAAGTAAAATAAAATATTTAAAATGGATTATTAAACACATTGCGTGAATAAAATAGTCAAATAAAATAAAATATTTTTAAATCCATTACTAAATACCTAATGCTTAAATGAAATAAAATAAAATAAATTAAAATAAAATATTTGAATGCATTATTAAATACATATTGCTTTAATAAAATAAAATAAAGTCAAATAAAATAAAATATTTTAATGCATTATTAAATACCTATTGCTTAAATAAAATGAACAAAATAATATAATGTGATAAGTGCATTGGCTCCATTGTTCTTTGGCTGCCGTCGCATCATCCAAGTGGATGCTGCACACTGGTGTTGGTGTGGAGAGCCCCCCACATGATTGTGAACTGCTTTGGATGCATGGTCATACAAGATAAATGCGCTATATAAATACACATTACTTACTTACTATATAATTTAAATGCATTATTAAATATGTATTGCTTAAATACAATAAAATAAAGTCAAATAAAATAAAACATTTTAAAAGCATTATTAAATACATATTGCTTAAATAAAATAAAGTCAAATAAAACATTTTAAATGGATTATTAAATACATATTGCTTAAATAAAATAAAATAATTTAAATGCATTATTAAATCCACATTGTTTAAATAAAATAAAATAAAGTTAAATAAAATAAAATACTTTAAATGCATTATTAAATACATATTACTTAAATAAAATAAAATAAAATAAAGTCAACTAAAATAAAATATTTTAAATGCATTATTAAATACATCTTGCTTAAATAAAATAAAATAAAATAAAGTCAACTAAAATAAAATATTTTAAATGCATTATTAAATACATCTTGCTTAAATGAAATGAAGTCAACTAAAATAAATTATTTTAAATGCATTATTAAATACATATTGCTTAAAAATTAAAATAAAATCAAGTCAACTAATTTAAATAAAATAAAATAAAGTTAAATGAATAAAATAAAATATCAAAAAATTATTTGGTTGCATAAAAAGAAACAACAAAAATCTGCTTCTAATTATTTTCTAAGCATCTTAATATTATAGAATTTTTCTGTTTTTTTTCAGTTTATTGCTGACATTTCATAGATGTTGAGTTTCAATGTTAATATTCCACCCTACAGTGTTCTCCAAAGAAAACATCTGTCACAACTATTTAAAACATCTATTATAAATTCTGATTTTTGATTCAACTAAAAATAAGTAAAAATTAAATGTAAAAACTAATCTTAAACTTGATTAAAATTAAAATTAAATAAATTGAAGCAATACAGTTAAAAATAATAAATAAACAAACAAACAAAAAAATAAATAAATAAATAAATAGATAGATAGATAAATAAACAAAAAATAAAAAATGTAAAAAAATTAATAAACAAATATCATTCAAAGCTAATTACAAAATTACAACCCTCAAAATAAAAGTTAAAAAAATACAAATTTATAATGTTAAAAAATTCAAAATAATAAATAAAAAAATTAAGCTGAAACAATATTTAAAACATACAAATAACTTAAATAAAAGTACTAAGATTAGTAAAGCTAGCATTTAAAAAAATACACAATTTCAAAAACCTTAACTAAAAATAAAAGCAAACCCAACAGCATTTATAAAATCTACAACAATAATTAGCACTTGAAAAATACTGTAAATTCCTTTATGTGACCTGTATTTATTCTGCAAAACACATAAGATTATACAGTTTTGAGGTCTGAAAACCACTGAAACCCCAATGACATTCTTAATATACAGCTAAAAACATTTCAATTTTCTTTGAAATGACACTGTAATGACATGAAGATTAGTACAAGAAGAATTTTCTCTTTTGGGTGGTACTAAGTTCAAATACCAAGCAGCTTTAAAATCCATACGTTACATCCACAGACTGGTTGTATTGATTTTGAAAAGCATGTCATTTTTTCCCCGTCTCCCTCATATATTTACCTTCCAGTGCAGGCTGACGTTCCTCTGGGATCTCAATGCCAGCAATTAAAGTCATGATCCTTTCAATCTACAACACAACATCCAGAAAAGAAAGCCTATAAGATGCAGTTAAATATTTGATTTCAATGTAATCTGCCATGACAGGTTACTCTTCATTGGACTTTGTCAGAACTTATTTTTATTCATAATTAATATGTGTTAGGACTAATGTATGCGAAGGCAGAAGATGAGCTGATATGTGGAACAATGAGAAGCTCTGGATTTTCCTAGACAGGTTTTATTTAGGGAGTAACTCACTTTATCCAGAACTCTAAAGCCTCTAGTCATTTATGGGGTGTCTGCATAGTTTAACAAGTATGTAGAAAAAGTTGAATTAACTTAGAATATTGGTGCACAGCTTTTGAGTTGACTACAGTACTTGGGTTAAAAGTTGAGTCAAAATAGCTGTGCAGCAAGTTACAATTTTACAATTTTAAGTTGAGTCAACTTTAAGCTGCTTCCCATCGTTTCCACATGTGTGTTTGTTTCTAACGTGTTACGTCAGATAGACAGCACAAGTGACAGAGACACACTCTGATGAAGAAGAGATCCAGTTTATTCCTCAAAAATATCAAGTAAGCTTATTCAACCCAGGCTCATTCTGAAAACGTAGTGCCGTGGACGTTTCAGGAGGCCGTGAAATATGTTCCGGGAGGTACGTATTTTTGCAGTTTTTGTTTTCACGAATCTGCGAGAGGCCGCTGTGTGCGCTTTTTTGTATCTCAAATGTCTCTTGCGAGTGCCGTTCGCGGCCGTGCTGTTCTCGCGTGAAACCACCAGAGGCCGCTGTCTGACTGACTGATTGATTGACTGTGCGACCGGCCAATCGGCTGACCCACCCTCCTCCTTCTCTAAACCCAACCAATTCTCCCAATTGACCCGCCCGCCCACTCACTTCCCTAAACCCAACTAACAATTTAGAAAAGCCGTCCAGAAAAAGAAATGCCCTCGTCTGATTTTTTACCACGTTTTCGGATTTCACCACATATTCACCCTGTTATGAACTCGTTCACTTTATTTTTTGGATTCTGTTTTTGTCTTACCTGATTTGTGAAACCGTGCTTCCCCGGGCTCGAACCCGGTGCCGTGGCCAACACCTCCTCTCTGCATCTGAAGTCTGCCGACGTACACCATAAGCTGACCAGACAAACTGGTTGCGACGGGAAAGCCCTCCACACGGAGATAAGCGCGAAAGGGAACAGCGTCATATTGCCTCTTATCGTTAGCTTAAAAAAAATGAAATGCAGACATACTACCTACCGGGACGTATTTCGCGGTCTCCAGAAACGTCCACGGGACTACGTTTTCAGAATGATCCTGGGTTGAGCTTATTTGATTTATTTGTGGTGGAGTTTATTCAAGCCTTTCTGAAATGATGAGTCACACATGAATGCCATTACAAAGTTCGCAGTACACACACACACACACACACACACACACACACACACACACACACACACACACACATACAGTTGCAGTCTTTATTATTTCCCAAATAATGTTGAACAGACCAAGGTATGAACAATTTTCACAGTATGTCTGATAATATTTCTTCTTCTGGGGAAAGTCTTATTTGTTTTATTTCGGCTATAATAAAAGCAGTTTTTAATTTTTTTAAACACTATTTTAAAGACAAAATGATTAGCCCCTTTAAGCAATATTTTTTTCGATTGTCCACAGAAAAAGCACATTAACATTATACAATAACTTGCCTAATTACCCTAACCTGCCTAGTTAACCAAATTAACATAGTTAAGCCTTTAAACTTCATAAAATAAGTCAGTTATTAGAAAAAAGTTATTAAAACTATTCTGTAGAGAAATTTGTTGATAAACTCTTTTCTCTGTTAAATAGAAATTGTGAAAAAAAATAAACAGGGGGGCTAATAATTCTTCAACTACAGCTATACACACTGCTATATCTATTAGGCTACTGTACAAAATAAACAAGATTTACCATCCAGTGGGTCTTAAAATCAGTGTGATCTGGATCCTATTTTAACGTCAGGGATTTTTTTTTACAAAAAGAGGCTTGTTGTGTTTATATCACTTAGTGACTCATATGACAGTGGACACACTAAATCTACACACTTCTGTCCAAACAGCTTCCAGAAGTTGATTTTGCATCAGCGATGCCTTTTAAGGCTCATCTAATCTGAATTCAAGGCCTTTTATAAAGAAAACTTTAAAGGGCACCTATGGTGAAAAATCGACTTTTCAAGCTGTTTGGACAGGAATATGTGTAGGTATAGTGTATAGACCGTCATGTTGGGGTGAAATAAACACCCAGTGCTTTTTTTTTCAATTAAACATCATAAAAACGGTGGACCAATTGGAGCGGTTTTCAGACCGATCGCAACTTGACGTAGGAGTGTGGTCCCCCCGCCCACAGAATTGATTGACAGCTTCGCGTAGTAACCTGTCCCGGTAGTCACGTGTGGGGGAAAAATGTATAAAGTAGAATCTTGTAAAAGGTATAATGAAAAATCCGACAGGTGTTTTGAGCTGAAACTTTACATACACATTCTGGAGACGCAAAACACTGAAATAAGTGTTTCATAATAAATCTGAAATAAGGAGTAACCTAGGTGCCCTTTAAGACCTTTTAAGGACCCACAACCACCCTGATTTAAAAAATAAACAGGGGGGCTAATAATTCTTCAACTGTATACAGCTATACACACTGCTATTATGCTACTGTACCAAATAAACAAGATTTACCGTCCAGTGGGTCTTAAAATCAGTGAGATTTGGATCCTATTTTAACGTCAGGGATTTTTTTTACAAAAAGAGGCTTGTTGTGTTTATATCACTTAGTCACTCATATGACAGTGGACACACTAAATCTACACACTTCTGTCCAAACAGCTTCCAGAAGTTGATTTTGCATCATCGATGCCCTTTAAGGCTCATCTAATCTGAATTCAAGGCCTTTTATAAAGAAAACTTTAAAGGGCACCTATGGTGAAAAATCTACTTTTCAAGCTGTTTGGACAGGAATATGTGTAGGTATAGTGTAGAGACCGTCATCTTGGGGTGAAATAAACACCCAGTGCTTTTTTTCTCAATTAAACATCATAAAAACGGTGGACCAATTGGAGCGGTTTTCAGACCGATCGCAACTTGACGTAGAAGTGTGGTCACCCCGTCTACAGAATTGATTGTCAGCTTCGCGTAGTAACATGTCCCGGTAGTCACGTGTGGGGGAAAAATGTATAAAGTAGAATCTTTTAAAAGGTATAATGAAAAATCCGACGGGTGTTTTGAGCTGAAACTTTACATACACATTCTGGAGACGCAAAACACTGAAATAAGTGTTTCATAATAAATCTAAAATAAGGAGTAACCTAGCTGCCCTTTAAGACCTTTTAAGGAGCCACAACCACCCTGATTTAGTCCCCTTTAAAAACTATCAAAAACATAAAGAAATATTACCCACAATATAACAAACAAACCCAAACACACAAAACAGCGACTAGACAAGCAAACATTCACGACAGCGCTTTTCCTTCCATCTAAAAGCAATTTCTCCAATCAATACACTTTTAGCGGAGGCCTGAAATAGCAAAGCGTCGGTTTTTGATGTAATATTTAAAGTCTGGCAAACTCATCTGCTGTGTGCTTGTGGCATCAACACGCCGGCGAGCCCCTAGATTCATTTAGCAGTCAGATGCCACGGTCCACGTGGTCCATCCCCTCCAGCCATACAGGCCTTTGCATTTGCCTCTCTCAAGTAACCTACATACTGTACGACTTACTTCTGTACACTCCTCCTCGTGTCTATCCATTATAGAATGCACAATGCATCAGGACATCATGGTGCACATCCCAGAATCCCTCAGCTGCCTACGCTCATCCCAGACTCATGCATGTCCTGATGCTTAATGGCTCACATTAGGGTAGAAACTAGGGGTGCAATGGTCCCGATTGCTCACGGTTCAGTTCATATCTTGGTTGTAGAGACACGGTTTTTGGTACAATTTGGTATATACAGCGGGGAAAATAAGTATTGAACATGACATGTTTTTTCCTGGGAGTATTATTTTAAAAGGAGCTGTTGGCATGGGATTGAATTAGATTTTGATAGAAACTCAAACAATACAAACATAAAAATGAAATATAACTAAAAATTAGATATGTATCATAGCAATGAACAACTGAAATGTATTTAATACTTTATATAAAAAGGATTATTTGGTGATGGCAGCTTAAAGATGACTCATATGGAGAATGAAGTCACATGCTGCTGCGTCAGGATGCTATGCAAACCGGGGTAGTTCAAAATGCAGCTTTATTATGAGAATGGTCACCCAGGTGAAAAAAATATATAATTAAATGCATTTAAAATACACTTAAATACCCGCAAATACATTTTTAGTACATTGTTATTTTTTTGTGTCAAATAAAAGTTTGATGGTTTTACACTATAAATATACTAATTAAAAGTATGTTTATACTTCAGTAGGACTTTAGTACACTTGACAAAAGTATACTAAATACCAGTAATATTTAAATAAATGTTTAGTGTACTACAATAAAGTACACTACAGAAAAAAACATCCAAAAGAGTTTTATTAGTGTGTTTTTCAAAAGTGTGCTTTAAATGCTTTAAACATTAGTTGATTTTTAGTACGCAAAAAAATGCTTTTCTTGCTTAGATTTTTTGTCTTGTTTCTAGTCTAAATATCTAAAACTTTATATATCAAGAAGCATTTTCTAGACAAGCAAAACATATTGTCTTGTTTTGAGAAATAAAATGCCAATAATAAGTGAGTTTTTCCTTAAAACAAGCAAAATAATCTGCCAATGGGGTAAACAAATTAATCTTGTTTTTTCTTTTGTCGTAAGATTATTTTGCTTACCCCATTGGCAGATTATTTTGCTTGTTTAAAGGAAAAACTCAGCTATTTTTGGCATATTATTTCTGAAAACAAGACTATATGTTTTTCTTGTCTAGAAAATGCTTCTTAATTTAGGAATTGTAAGATATTTGGACTAGAAACAAGACAAAAAATCCAAGTAAGAAAAG